TTTTGTTGCTCGTATGTTCGTCGAAACACATGATTACACATTCACAATCGAATCCAACGTTGAATCGAAAATACATCACTAAAATGTTGTTGTTGGCGGCGTGGCGGCGGTGATGGTGGTAGTGTTGTGGAGCACCCGAGAAAATCCACAAGCTGCTACACTGTATTCATTTAATTTTATTTATTTATTCATGTGAACGTTAATCATATTCAGCATGAACTTCGGATTGTGTTGCAACTTGCAATCGATTTGTTATGCTTGCGAATTTAAAGACACCAACACGTAATCTGCATTCCACTTACACATTTTACATATCAAATAGAGAAACAACGCTTGCAGCGTTCTCTCTCTCTCTCTCTCTCTCTCTCTGAAAATCGTAAAAATGAAACCAATCGCACACGATCCTAGGATGCCAATCCAGAAAATTGAATGGAATGTTTTCTCGCTTGTTACTCTTTTTTTGTCATCGTCACAAGCAATGTATGGATATACTTCTTGTTTTTTCTCTTGTTCCACAAATTATATTTAACATGACATAGTTGAAATACTCCTCAAAACATTGGTGTGGAAAATATATCGATGAATAATGGACCATTCAATATTGTGTATGTATCGGTGGAGTTGTTGTTCTTTTTTTATTGTTGTTGTTTGTTTAATGGATTCGCTATCACGTCAAATGGTTAAATGATAAGCTTTCTGGATTAAAGTACGTCAGAAATGCTATTCAACTTTCAATATATACATTGATTGAAATTGTTTGGCGTGAATTCTCTCTCTCTCTCTCTCTCTCTCTCTCTCTCTCTCTCTCTGGCACATATTAAAACTCTAGGGGATCGGATCTCGATCAGAAAATAGCGAATTATTCGATATTTTGCGAATTTTATGCGAAATGATTTGTAAGCGATGGGCCAGTAAAGTTGTGATTTAAAAAACAATTCGCAAACAAAACGCTATGAACGTGAGACAATTCGCAAAATTTGTATGTTTTGTATGTATCAAATTGTGAACGCTTGTAAACGAGCCAAGTGAACAGCGGCGACGCACGAAAACGAAATGAGTGAATAGCGACAACGAACGAAAGAAAAGTTATCCGCTGCCGCTATTCACTCACTTCGTTTTCTTGCGTCGCCGCTATTCACTCACTTCGTTTTCTTGCGTCGCCGCTATTCACTTGGTTCGTTTGCAAGCGTATATTATATAGTTTGATTGTGATAAATTTTTGCGAATAGCTTGCGAATTGTATGCGAATTTCTTGAATTATTTTACTAAAATGACGACTTTATCATACAATCAATAAATTTTGTCCATTCGCGAATAGATCATTTCCCCTAGTTAAAACTCCTTGGATCTATACAAATTTTAATAGCAACAGGCATGCATAATGGAAACTGAAGTACAGGTACATACAACAGATGAAAATGAATCAAATTCAGCTGTTGGATTTCATTAGAAATTAAAAATTGCAATGGATATATGTTCTTTTCTGGTCACTTTTTGAATCCAATGCTATTGACATTTCAGATTTTTGAATATAGCTTGAATACATTTTTGGTATAGCTGGTTTAAATAAAGAATATTTTAGTTTTCAGGGATTTTGAAAGAACGAAAAAACTTTTGATTTCAGTTTCAAATTATATAATTTTATATAAGATTTTTTTTTGAATTTGAAAATTATATTTGTACACTTCTTAAAGAATGAAATTACTTCCGTTTTCAATGGAATAAACAACATTTATGGCTAATCTATATTTCAACTCTATAATATAAACACTGCCAGTTTTTGGCCGTAGAGCTCAATGTGAAACGTGGAACCGTACTACTAAGAAAAACAAACTACTCGACATTCATATTTTGAATTTTTTGCCACAATTTTTTTAAAATAAATTACACCTTGAAAATTGATTTTGCCAATATTTTCACTAATTTGGCCTCAAACGGCCACCTGGGAAACACATTCACAAGTTTGATTGGCTAATAAGCTATATACCGTTGGAAAGAGGGCTTCAAGAGCTATCATCTGGCAAAGTTTCATCAAAATCATAGAACTAGGTTGCTTGCAATAAGATTCGGAAGCCAATTTTTCTCACAATTTTTCATATTTCGGCCAAACGGCCAGCCTAAAACGCCATCAAACCTGCCGGAAACTCCATAATTTATATACCATTCGAAATGTAATTTTATAAGGAATCTAAAACAATTTGGTACCGCGGGTGTCTCCAACTTTTCAACAAGTTTCATGTAGATCCAAAGTAATCAAATTAACACTGAAGTAAAACTCATTTATTCCATCGTTTATCCACCCAATAAAGTTGCGGAGAAACGTAATTCCACCCGAATCCATTCGTTATCCACTCAATAAATGGTGAGTGGAATCGAAATATTTTTCAAAGTGGAATCCAAAAAAGAGGGTCCATGAATGAAAAAATTAAATGGGGAGCACTTATGGGGAAAAGAAAAAATACGTCTGGAGGGTTTTTCATGCCCTATCGAATGCCGAAAACCCGAACTCTCTTTCTTTTCTGGTTTTCTCTAAAATCACTGAACAAACATATATATATATATATACACTGACAAAACTAAGGTTATGATTTTGACAACACCGTGTTGTAAATGCTTACATTCCAACGAATGTTGTGAAGTAGCCAACAATTGTTGTCATTGTGAATACGTACAATGGCATATATTATATGTATTCACAACGACAACAATTGTTGGCTACTTCACAACATTTGTTGGAATGTAAGCATTTACAACACGGAGTTGTCAAAATCATAACCTTAGTTTTGTCAGTGTATATATATATATATCTTACTATTCCATAGCTTAATGTATAAAACTACGTTTCACATTAAGCAATATACAATTTTTTTATCATAACAATTTTGTTATTGTTACAACCATCTTTTGGTTAGACACTAACATAATCTTTTGCTTAGCTAGTTTTTTACAAGTAAGATTATGTTATCTCAATTTAACCGTCATTGACATGAACTTTGACTCACTATTTTTCGTCTTATTTTCGGAAGAACTTAGAAAAAAACTCAATTTCACAAACAACTTTGTATTATAAGAATTCGTACGAATATTACAAAAAGATTTGCTGGACTATTTTTTCTCATTGGCATTCATTGGAAGAAATTATTCGAATTTGCTAGGGATTTTCGAGCTGTTTTTTTGAAAATCAATTTCTTCATAGTGGAGTGAAAAAAAAAACACTTTTCGCTAGAATTTTTCGTGCGAAATACTCTTTCGATTTGCTGTGGATTTTTTTCCACCAAAAACGTTGCTTGTATATTTCTGTTCTAGATGTCATTCGTTAATTTCATCATCTCCAAGAGATCAATAATGGTTAAACACTCCACTCAATTTTAAATGCTGCCTGTTCGTGTGTGTGTGTCACCGTGTAAATGTTGGTGAATAAAAATTCCTTCAACGCAAATAAAACATAACGTAAAACAAACAGATGGTCGTTAAGTTCATGTTATATGGCCAATTTTACTTAATAACATCCATTATTTGAGTTTGGTGCTTCATTTCGACTCACTTCGTTTGCATTTTATCAACACCAATTTACCGATTTCGTGCACACGTAAAAGTTTTGCCGGTGATTGACAGCAGGCTTCCTTATTGCTTCGTCGACTTTAATTAATCGTATAATTTATTTTTGTGTTCAAATTCGATTTTTTATTTCAAACGAACTATTAATTTTGAATCAAAACAATTGTGTTTGCATTCCAATCACATTTTTCAATTTTTATTTCTGCTCCTGCAATTTCAATGGCAAAATGTGTACGTTCCGGGTGCGGCTATTTTATGATATTCAACATTATTCGACGTAGGTGACGGTGCAAAAAGCTATACGCAATAGAAAATTGATTATTCAATAAATGTATTTAGGTGTGTATTGCGTGACTCGATTAAAATAATAGGACCCGAACCGGGCTTGTATAAATAGAACATGTTCAGGTAGCCCACAATAGAATTAATGGGAAAACGTTCGAAAATTCTCTCTAGGCAGGCTAATTCTTTTTATTCATAACGAGGAATTCCGTTACGTTTATTCTCATTTTCATTCAATTCAAATGGAGCCGGATGTCGGTTAGGATTTAAATAATGCACAAAAAACTAGACGCTAGATACGAATCGAAAGTAAATAATGATTTGTGCGTGTGGAATTGGGGGAAGGACAATGTAAATACCATAGCCTAATTACATTTAACGAAAAATTTCCTGTGGAAGTAGCTGAAATCCATCATGCACACACTAAACATGACATTGATTTCACCGATAATATAATGGTTCACTAATTGATTTTATAAACTTGACTTTGTGTCTTGTTTGTTGTTGTTTGCCGCTTTTGACCAACGTTGACTTTTATGCCAAAAAAAAACAAGAGAAACAGATTATGAGCGTTGGTGGTTCCTTTGTTTTCCGGCCCATTTTATTTGCTAGAGCAATCAATCCAAACCTTTGCTCTCATTTCGGTTCGGCCGTGTGGCTTGATTTCATTTTGATGAAGGATTTTCGAAATGGTTTTCTTTTCATTTTAAATTGGAGTAATGTTCGTATTTCTATTTTCAATTTAAATCATTAATCCGTTGTCTTGGAGTGTGCTGCTCGTTAACAAACAAATCGCTCAATATATACTAAAACCATCGCAATCCACAAGAAATACACAAACCCCCTACAAAAGGAAGCGACACTAATGCACTTTTATACACATTTATTAAAATTTAATATTAAATTCCTCTAAAATTGAAATATCACAATGATATTTTTGTCGAATGGCCTGAAGTCGCCTCTTTTTCTCGCTTCAAGTTTTAAAATTAATAAAAATGTATTTTCATCTCTTCTTTTTTTTTCTCCCCTTTTGTGTCATTTTTCTTTGTAATCTATGTGGTTTTTTTCATTTAACAATGCTGTGACGTTGCTGCTGTTGCTGTCGTGTTATCGTTGCTGTTGCTGCTGCCGTTCGTCGCTGTCGCGCTCAAATCGTTTAGTTCCACCCGAGTATCCATTAGTATTGAATCGATGGGGTCATCAATTGAACGGAACAATACTTGGTCCTATGGAAGAAGGAGACGACATTGTGTTAACATGCCGAGTTACTGGTGGTAAGCCAAGAAATTCAATACCTTCTCTGTTTTTTTACTTTCTCTCTTCATATATACACAATTGCCATTGCAGTTAATTCAATTTTCAGCTGAGTTTTCCCATTTTTCGTACGCTTGTTCGTTCTCTCTCCTTTCTTTCATTCACTCAACTCTTATTTCTTTAGTTTGGCGTCAGCCATTGCTTTTCATTCGGTTCATCGCTGAATCGATCCATTGAGTTCATTCTTTTCGCTCTTTGTTCGCCATCGACTGAATGCTTTGGCTTGATTTTTCTCTTTGACCTGGACTTTATACATACAGCTTCTATCTAGCTTACGACCGAAGATTTTTACCAAATGAAAAGCAAGTGTAATCGAGTCGGGCAAACTAGCGCGTTTTTTTTCACCATCGTTCGGTCTTCGTATTTTTTAGGGAACGAAACCAAACCCCCCGGAACATTTATGAACATTGAAAATTCAATGGGAAGAATGCAAGCGTCTCTTTCAATACGCAATATATCGAACACAGAGAATTATGATGTAATTTAGATTACGAAAGGCGAATCGTTCCATCGAAACCATAAAGAGTACCATGGCACTGAAATGAGTTGAAGCCACGGGTTTGAAAAAAAATGGCTCAAAAACAATTTGAAAATTTTTCTTAGAAATGTATAGTTACGAGACGCTGGTGTGTGGTTACACTGACTGATAGATTCTCAATGCACTCCCTCGCAGCACACACCATCAAATGCACAGCTAAAGCTCTCTCTTTCGATCTCTCGTTCACTTCATTATTAAACCCATTTTATTCAATCGATTGTTCCTCCGTATCTTTTTTTAACAATCCCTTTTTATGTATCATTGTCCGTCTGATATCGACTACTTTGTGCATACATTTCATCGGCATCCATACATTTTTTGCGCGCATAATTTCCAACAAGGAGTCGATTAACTTAACATATTTCATTATGTAAATGCGCCCAACCAACGGACAAAAAATGAACATGCCATTGGCCATTTTCCATTGAATTTTCTCCTATATAGCTTCATTCTTCGCTCGAAAATTCCCAAGTGAGTGCATTATTTGTGAATAACATGAAAATGAAACGAAAATCATATGACTCAATCGAAATTTTATTCAAAAATTTTTGCTTTTTCTTGTGCGGATCGATTCGGAAAGAATCGATGCCAAAAATGTTTTCACCATCCAAGGATCAAATAAATTGACGTTTTTTCTTCGACTTGATAGTCGCTTTTCAATGCCGCATTGTAATACTAAAATGATTAAACCCAAATCCAGTGATGTTTCACATGCGGTTTATGCATTGTTTACATTGTCGGCGTCTTTCCAGACAGTTTCCGATGTGTTTCGGTCATTCCTCCGGCATCACTTTCTTTTTCAAAATAAGACAAATGTTCATTTGGGATTTTGCCTCATTCAACACTGCAAACAGTCCTAATCAAACGTATGGGCTCAAATATAGTACAACAAAACGTGGGATGTGGTTCGTCTGATTAATAAAATCAATTGTCTAGATATGATAAAAAAAAATTCCAATCAAGTAATTATGTGTGTGTTTACAAATCGTCGCAAAATTAAGCAAAATTGTGCGAAACTAGAACGTAAAATTCGACTGTGAAACTTGTTAAATCAATCTAACGTTGCAACGGATACATTCGCGTTGACACAAAAAATTAATCAAACTTGACATGTACAAATATCGTCGATTTATACCGTCAGATATGTAGACTACGTCAACAAACAATGTTTATCAAGTCCATTTGAGACATTGTCTATAGTGCGGCTAAGTTTGTAATGCATATGATGTTATTTCAATGAAATATTCAATTTATTTCTACTGCGCACTAAAAGTAAAACTCTATATAGCTGATCAGAGAAAAATGACGCCGTTTTTTTCATCAGTATACTCGAAAATGTCCGAACACTAAAATATTCGTGTCTACTCACCGCTAGATGCACCATCAGCATAAATAATAATTGAACTAATTAATTAAATGTTGTCTGATGACGGATTTTAATTTGTGGTGTGTTGTCGAAAAATGTTGTCATTTAAAACATGGACAAACCAATGAGCTTTTATTCGCGCCAGATTTCTATAAAATGGTCATTTAACGAAATTGCGATGTACGTTTTAATTATAAATTGCATTGGTAAAGCGCATTACCGTGATGTAAATGCCATACATTGATGGTATAAATGCTGTGCCTTTGCCCATAATGCATCATTCTATGATGGTAATGAAGCTAATTTTCATGATGTGTGCTCACCAAAAAATTACATCTATAGAATAAAATAATTGCGCGTGTCTGCCTGAAAAATGCCTTTGATTATAAACCCAACACGCAATTAAACATCATGAATGGCGGTGGTTGTTCAAAGGAATATTTTGAATCATTAATTATTGAGTTCAATCCGATTTAACGGCTTTGGACGTGATGAAAGGGTCACATTTTTCTCTTTCACTTAAAAAAAATAATAGAATAAAATGATTGCTTATGCTGAATTCATAATTTCAAATAAAATACCCCAATAATGGCAACAAACGTCTCTGGGATTTTCAGATCTTTTTGCTGGTCAACCCATCTCCTCTCTATGATGAATGCCATTTCACCTCCCTGCAGAAAAATTCTGCCCGCCCTATTCATATATATCATTGATTTGATGACAATGCCAAATTCTGTTCGAAACAAACATGTAGTGGCGGAAATAACAACGATTGGAAACGCTGTAGTTCAGTGTTTAATTGAGTAGGGCGGCGCCACCGTCTATACATACAAATGTCCATTTAAATCAGCGCCATCTACGCTAAAACATACTTTTGGTTGAAAATAAAACGCCATCATATTCCGACATTGGGAAATAATAAAATATTCCAATTAATGACGCAGCCTCCACATGTTTGAATATTTTATTTATGCTCTTCAATGTGGCTTCATTGCAATGAAAAAAAATTCATGATTTTTTTTTATAAATTCAATAATACATTTTGAAATTCAGGTATATTCCATTATTTGTTCAAACCATTTTTATTTGCTTTTTTCTATCCATTGACAATTATCAATGAACGACAGGCGACTTTATTTCACTGACATATTGATGTCGGATATTTATAACATGACTTGTGACGCCGAATATTCCCTATCAATCCATTTTTTTAAAATTGGTACTTCCAAATGTCAGTAAAACACTTTTTTATATTCAAATCTGAACTGTATTTAAGAATGATGTTGTTATTTACTTTCTACGATTCATTCAAAACGGTAGAAAAAAATATTCATGTTGATAGTCAGAGCGATTTGGTTACTATTTGATAAGAGAAAAAAAGTATTGAAAATGTGTCAACGGTGAAAAATATTAAAATGCCTGAATTTTACATTGTCATTTACATTTGTAGATCCATCACAAAAAGCTATTTGATTAATTGAAGCCCAAAAAAAAAAATAGAACACCAGTTTATTAAAAACGTGCATTCAATAAAGCCCTTTTGTTCAACTACACAGTTCGATGGGTATATTTTTTCATAGATTTGCTATTTGTTTTAAATCGATTCCATTTAATAAAATTTGAAATGAAATTCCGTTTAACAGAAAATGTAATTAAATGAAAACCATTTCATGCAGCTGTTTAAAAGCATTAAAATCTATTCAACCGTTATTGCTAATGAGTTGACACAGTGAATTTTATTTATTTAAAATAATTAGAAATTTTTGGAATGCATTAGCAAATTGAAATGGCAACAATAGCAAAAAAGCATACAATCAATACAATATATAATATTGGTTAACTTTGGATATTTTAATGGGAAATATGCGCGAGAGATAAAAAAATCTATTGTTATTTCCCTTTCATTTAATTCAAAATAAGTATGTGACACATAATGTTTGTCCAAATGGTTGTATAATGTTGTTTAACATCGCTAATTGATTCATAACTGATTCCATCGGAAATTCGTGCATATTCTAGGGCATAATAATGTCCATTTTTAAGCGAATAGTTTAAAATAATATTGAACGTAATTTTTTGTGTTTGTGCAGAAACAAGTTTTAATAAAATTATCGATGTGTACAATTACGTCAAAGATTTGATGTTCAGGCCCACATAATATAAAAGCATATTTTGGATCGATAACGTTATTCACATATTGAAATTGTCGCAAAAATGCATTGAACTGAATAGATGCCTTATATGTGATGCTCTAATGGAATATTCCGGTACAGTTTTGTATCGTTCAATCCTTTAAATTAACGTTGAATTGCATGGCTCTATGAATGTTAATATTGCACAGACTGCTGTGTATGTTAGTGTATGTATGTCAAAGCATCAACTAAACTCAATCTCGAATACTGTATGTAAATTTCCATAAACACGATTCATTCAAGTCACTTTTCTGCAACGTCAACAAAAATTTATTAAAATCAAAACATTGCATAAATTAATACTACGCACATCGCACATGCATTTGTGCTTTCATGCAGCCTTTATGATCGGATTCAAGCTCTCGGGAACGATTCCCTTGCTCTTTCGCTCTCTCTGTAATGCAATCTCATTTCACTTCAATCAGCAATAGATGGATTCATGGAAATACATGGATGGTTCGATACTATTCATTCAGATAATTCGTGAGCTGTGAGACTTGAATGCACACACACTCACACACTATGCATGTTTAATCAATGGCTTGAACATTTATCATGTGTGTGTGTGTGTGTTTGTGGCCACCAGCAATCACGGTGCCAAACGACATTTATTTTGGACATTAGAATATAACACTATACCTCATACTGGGCGTGTTTCGATTGCAGCACACATCAAATTATGCACAAAAATTATTTACAACATACAATTAATTTCTATACCCGGTGTATATTCTCTGGATAGCTCAAAACGTGTAAATATGTACTGCAAATTCATCGATATTCTAAACAATTCGGTACACTTTTTGAGCACTCCCATTGACATCAAAACCAATATACACGCTGGCTTTTAAAATGCACCAGGTGAAATTCATGTTTTCATGCGGTGCATTCATTTTGAGGTGTATATTTCTCTTTTTTTTCGATTAAATATCTCAGGTGTGTTACCACTTCGTTATTTCCAAACTTCAAAATCAGCAGCGTGTGGTATTTTTTTCTCGCTTAGTTAATCGAAATTTACAATAATTTGAATGCATGTGCCATGTCCATTCAAAGTTTACTGTTGTTAACGGTTTGGACACATGAAAGTAACGGGAGATTTTAATTTCATCGCATGACCGAAGCTTGAAATCTTGATCAATGGACAATCTCGACACCAAAAACTCCTCTTTTTATTAATGACCATAAGCTATCCACGAAAGATGGTTAATACGCGCAACAAACGCACATTCATTCGGAATGGGCGATTTGCAACTTTTCACATCACGGGCTGAATGACAAACCACCAAGGGGGTAGGCATGATTCGAATGATTCGTTGTAATTCATTTGTGATTTGAATGATTTGAATCTATTTGACAAGTGACTTTACAATACTAAAACAAAGCATAAAATTCTATATCAATATTTGTTTTTTTTAAAGCAAGAAAAAACCTTTTATTTTTTAATTAAAAAAATCAAGTATATTTCGTTTATAGTTAAAACACATTTCGAAAATATTATATCTCATTGTATTTTTATTCTTTAACTTGATATTTTTTTTGATATAACATGCATGCAAACATCGATAGTCAACTTCGCTGTAAAGTGTCACACGAACTGTCAAGCGGTGATTTGAAATGATTCGAAAGAATTCAAAATGATTTGAAATATTTATAATTTACTCGCAATAATTTAAAGAGATTTATTTTTTGTCGTATAGATTTGTTCTTTTGGATTGCGTGTCTACCCCCTAGCAAACCACACTTCGATATTATACAAACATATTTGGGCCGTTCATTTGAAAAGTGCAAATTGGATAAAGGTATATAAATCACGTACGTACGGCATCACACAACACACTCATTCATTTGAAATTGCAAAAATTCTCGGAATGGCGAAATCGTAAATTGCCCAACGATGTGTAACACGTACGATTGCACACATTCGAACGGCTTCTCTCACCATTATTAAACTGATCACATCCATTTGTGTACTCCCAACAAAATTCGAAGACAAATATTATATGGAGATGAAATGCGGTGATGCTGGGTGTGGATTGGAAATCATCATATATCACATCAATATCCTCTCCATCAATTAAACTTAATAAATAATAATTATTCATTACGGAACTGCTATCAGTTTTGTAAATATTAATATCTGTTGATTTGTGATTGGCAACGAATATTTTATTCAGTATGACAGACGGGTGCATGCTGGATTTTATGCTTTGCACTCTTTTGTATCTCATTTTCAGTTGTCGTTGACACTGCCGGTTTTAAATACGGAATAAAAAAACATGGAGTGATAAACATTTCGGTCTTTGAGATTATTCAGTTTCATAACATTCAGTATCAGTTGTTTTCAATAAAAAACCTGTCAAATTTAAATGATGAATATGAAACATCATTCATTGATGGTATAATCGATGATATTCTGTTCAGGTCATCTCGTGCTCCCTCTATGGTCTTACATGGTGGAGCATTTCAATTGATCCAATTTTGAAGTTTCGACTAATTTTGTCAACAAAGTATTTATAAAGTGAAGAAATTGCAAAATAGATACCAGTGACTAAAAATCACCGATCTTTTTATATATTCGTTTATTTTTATGAAATGGAATTCGATGACATTTTTAACTTTATCATGAATGTATTGCGCCGTATTGCACTCTTTTCCATGGAAATTTCGGATTTTTCCTTAAAATCTGGGGTAGCTTTAAATAAAGTATATTTTAGAGATAATGGAGGCACGAAAAAACTTTTGATTTCAGTTTCAAATTATGTCATTTTATTCATGTTCATTTACAGATAGGATTTTTTATTTAAGTATGGCAACAAGTGATCAAGCGGAAATTTTGTATCATTTTCGTTTATTAATCAATAACTAAATCTATGGATGGAACATTTATCTCTTTGGATCAATCCATTCTTCGTTGCCCCTTGATAGACTTTTCTGTGGGAAGAGTTATTACGTTAACAAATTTTTCCGTATATTTTACAGTGCATCTCAATATAAACATACCATATGGTAAAAAATCATAGATCTGTCATTCTCTAGACCCAAAACGCATACAAAACCGATATTTGGGTATTTCAATATTTTGGGATGCTTACAATATGTAACTACACACAGTTATGTATGCGAAAAAGTAAAATATCATGTCAAAAATAAAATCAAAATAAAATCGTACATGTGGTTTGTATAGTCGTTTTCAATAAGATCTGTTACAGCGAACTGTCAAAATTTTGAACAAACAACATACCCTCAACAAAATTCAAACCAAATTGACACGTTTAACTAAGGAGCCTTGTGTACTTTTGAATGGAAATGCGTTCCGAAATGCATTGTATTAGTTTGACAACACAGATCTTTTTGGAAACGACTATAGTTTCGACATGAACGGCAAATAAATATTCAGGTCAGTGCATACTTTCGTTCTGAAACCATAAAAATGCATTTGAAAAGATTTCTTTCTTTCTCAAAAACATTTGATTGGTCTTATTATATGGGATACATTCAGATGCCAACAATTTCTGGATGTCGAAATGATTTCAGCTGTGAACTATAATGGGCGAAAGTAGCAAAACCTCTAGAATTGACAGTATACATCATGGCCATTTTTTAACGGATGGCATTTCACATGGCTATTATAAAAATCTCTTGTAAACCGTGGAAATTGAAAAAAAAATGCAAAACATTTTGGAAGAATATATGCTGATTTTTCGTACACACTTTTTTCGCGCTATGGACTGAGCAAAATGTATATTTTAGTAGCTCCAAAATTGTCCTGAAAAGAAGCCCTGACAAAATATTTATGAGAATGTGGGTTCCATATCATTGAATTCGATTCGCCGCAAGTCACCACATATTCAACGAATATCTGATTGACGAAACGATTGCCAAGCAACCATCGACTGGGTTTTGCCAATTTCCAACGTTGAATCAATTCATACAATTTGATTTTGACTATTTTCAACCGAAAACACAAATATTCCAATTGAAATTGAATGCCACGGGAAACGTGAAAAGTGAAATTCACTGTTTGAATTGTATCGCTGGTTATCTCAATGGCAGTGCATTGAAAATTGATGATTGAACTTCGTCCGCAGTGTGATTTTCTCATTTAGTCCATTTGACCCAAGTGACATAACATCCATAAAGAAATTTCCACTTGTGAAAACGAGCCGATCAAAGGTGTAAAATTAGGTAATTAGATCATGATAAAAGGTGCAAAATTTGTGGCAGAAAAAGAAACATAATCAAAATGAATGTGGTGGCATTAAAGAAGTCGTATGAGACAACTGCATGGTGGTGCTAAATGTGTCGCTATTTTCACTATAAATGTTTGCAGTACCAAGTTGTACATCTTATTCGGTAACATTTTCGGCAATAAATTATTTAGTATTGCAGTTGGTGCAAGTCATTTCCAATAACGAAGCAGGTTGAGTGCTTTGTATTGTACTGCATTCAGTTTCATCTATATTCGAAAGTGTAACAAGTACTTAAGAACATTGTAGGTCCCATTCGTTTTCCTCTTGTGATTTTTTTGTTCTCGGTTTGCTTTGTTTTGCGACATTTATTTTTCTCTCTCTCTCTCTGATTCGCCGGTTTCGGTTCTCGATACCACAATATCACCGATTCGAAATCAGACGTAAGAAATATTTTCTCATATTTCAACGGCTTACGGTGAATCGAGTCATTTTCACAGTGCTAAGAATTTTGCCTCGATGACTTTTCATTTTTAAAGTATCAAAAAGTGGGTGATGTCAAGAGCGAAACAGATGTAACAAATGTTGAATCTTTTTCGTATTTGTGGCGTTTCCTTTTTCTGACATTTTTCATAATACCGTATGTCACTGTCGACGGCGAACAAGAACGACCTCCCGCCATCGCTCTGGAACATGCTTATACACCTTTTTTTATTTGCTTTATTTTTGAAAACAATAAATACAACCGAAGTTCAGGCAAAAATAAGCAAGCGTATGGAAAGTGTCATTGCATTTATGTTTGGAGTCTTCGCACTAAATTCGATTCTTTTTTTTCGTGTATGTCATTGTATTTTTTTCTTTCTTTTCTATTCATAGGTCGACCGCAACCTCAAGTTCGATGGCTTGTAAATGGTGTACTTGTCGACGATCAATACGAACACAATACAGGCGATGTAATTGAAAATCGACTTTTGTGGCCAGCTGTTCAACGGTCGGATCTCAACGCGATATTCACTTGTCAAGCCGTAAATACAATTCTTGTTGAACCCAAAGAAAATAGCTACATGCTGGACTTGCACCGTAAGTATCGAAACATCACTTAATAATACAAACGCTCATTTTTTGTGATTTATTTGATTTTGAAGTCATGGAAGACTTTTTTTATTTTTATTTTTTCGTCGAATACGCTCCTTCGTATAAAAACCGAGATAAAAATACACAGCTAATATGACAAGTGATGCCAATAAATGATTTGTGAATTAAAGGTATTATTTTTTATTCAAAGAATAATACTACATCAAAGACGATGATGATGAGGTGAAAAATAGCAGCAAATAAATTTATCGGATTTAATTTTTAGAAATCAAGAAATTTACTATACAGTGTACTCCATTCACCGTTATTTTCAAACTTCAAGATTCTTTTATAATGAGGCCACTTAAAAAGAAACCAAACATTTTCAATTGAACTGAGATTAATTCATCCAGCTGAAAGTGTTATTCAAGACTTTCTCTTTCAGTTTAGTCTAAAAGTTACTTCGGTAACCAAAATAGATTGAAAAACAGCAACATATTCATTGAAACACTTATGAATTGAATATCAAATTTCAAAAAAAAAAAACTTTGAGTAGTTTTTAATTAAAAAAATGTCGGAATTATGAAAATCCAATTTCCATCTGAGAGAATACTCTCTTTTAATACGAATCTCTTTGAACATTTCATTTGAATTTTTTGAATATTTCATACATCATTCTTGATTTAAAAGAAATATCATTTTTTATCATTGAATTCTTGATAAAATATTCACTGTTCAACTTAAAATAGAAAAATGTGCAAAAGACTTCTTCAAAGGATTGTTTGTGGTATTTGATTAACTTTGGATTCAACTCACCAAGAAAAAGGAATCGCTCTGAATGCGAAAAAAAGAAAAGAAGCAGAAACAAAGATGAATAGCGATGAATTCATTTCACGTACAAATAATAAAGCGGAAAAGTATTCGCATGCTGTGTTTGTGAGCGAGTAAAAGTACATCGAATCAATTGAAAGGACATCTGATGCATGCATTTTATATGAGCAATTTAATTTGATAATTTACTTTTTGAAAGAAAAAAGAACGAAGAAATTTTATGCATTTTCATCTAATAATAAAATCGAGTAATGGGCAAACCTTTTTATACAGAGCATCGCATATTTCTGAATTAAAAAAAAAACTGGTTTTTGTCGTTCATTCTAATTTATTTGTGTGTTTCCGTCGTATTTTTCCCCTTTGTCGTCCGACCGAAAATGCCAACAAAATGGTTTTTGTTTGTTTTATCGTGGTGAACAGTTGAACCGAAAGCTACCGGGCCATTGTAGAATGTGTTGCCAAACGAATGTTCATACGTTCGTCCGGACGAAAATCCCATATCATTGCGATTGGGAGGTGGCGAAGGGGTGCAATAAAAATGAGGATATGGCAACTAAAACGCACAAAATTTTAAGACCATTTATTTCGGTATGGCGTGGTCGTCATCGTGCTGGCCGAACTGATGTCGTTAATGTGTGTGTGTCTGTGCAAATGTGTGTGTGTCTGTGCAAGTGTATGAGTTCCACGCTAAATTTTGAATGGTAAAAATGAAATATACTTTTGTGAGTGTATATATTTTTGGGTCAATGCATTTCAAAGTCACTTTTCAAACTTTTTCCGCTTTCTGGTTTCATGCAACACCATGTTTACAATACAATACAATAATCAACATTTACAAATGAAAACGAGACACCATAAATTGTGTGAACAGCATCAACGGCAACAAATACACAATTCAAACGCATATGAGATAGATAGTACGGAATTGTTTGTTGGCACATGAACCGAAAATGTGTGTGTGTGGTTGGTGTTCAGTCGGAATTCAAAGTTCCAGTCAACGAATTCATGCATCAGGCCATACAATGAACACATCTAGTTCAAAATAATAAAATTTTATAAAATAATACAATAATAATTGTAATGAGACAATGGAAAATCGTTGAATTGTTCGGTGCTGAATTTACTGTCTTTTCGGAATTATAGAGCAGTCAGCATGATGTCATGCGAAAGCAGAAAGACAGAGAGTGAACATCCATGTGAACAGTTTCGACTTATTTCTTCTTCTTTTTTTTTGTTATTTATTTTCGCAAACCGACCAAACGACAACCACGATGAAATGCTATTGCGCTGCCATTTGATTTTCGCATATAAGAAACGAGTAGGACAATACAGCAATAAAAAAGATATATACAACAAGAAGCATGCAGTCACACACACACACACAATAGAAAACCATTTGACATTATGCCGCATAAAATCAACACACAAACAATAAACTGAGAACAAGAAAAAGAGACCTCATTCGTTTTGCCATAAAATTGTAAAATTGGATTCTTGTCATCTGCTAAACGAATCGGTTCGCACTGTATGTGTCCCGTGTATACAGTGGCCCATGTCTACTTGTAGAGACCGGGTTAGATGTGTGCATTTGCACAAAACGTTTGTCGGTTTAAATTTTAGATGGCCATTTCCGTTTGTTTGTTTATTAGATAATTTGGTTTTGCCTCCTATTTCATTATACATGAGCATATACATAAACTAATATAAGGAATTGGAACAACTTTAATTTACTGCCCGAACATTTTCGGTACTAATTTTCAACACCAAGACACTGTGCCACTGCCCATATAAATTGAAGATCGTACCAGTGCAGATCAGAATATCACCGATTTAGCCATTTTTCAGTAGTTGCACTTCCCGTAAAAATTCATGACAACAATATAGTTGAACCCGAAAGTGTCTTTAAATATTCATAATTTTTTATGATGTCATTTTCGAGCTTCGATGATTTTTTTCCCTTTCGATGAATATAAAAATTCAAATCTATTAACCAGTCGTATGGTGATGTTTATTCAAAGAATGTGGCTTATTATCTAACAAAATGCGAAGGAGCAAAATCTAACAAATTGTGAAGGAGTGGGTGGTGGTTCATGTGTGGTGTGTCATTCATGACGCGTTTGGGTTAAAATTTCATTGCAAAATATTTGTGGTTAATTCGATGCCATGAGCATCAGATTTTGGGCTAGAGATTGTGCTTTTAGCGGTGAACTTTATACATTTTCATTTGGATTTTAAATGTGAAATTAATTTTCCCATCAACATCGTTGATAATCCCATACTGAGCGAGTATGTGCAAAGCACAGCGGTCCCACCATCCGCAAACGTTGTCATTTTTGAATATTTGAAATTAATCTGAAGAATAAATATGTTCGCCTGGTGAATGTGATCTAGCGTAAAATTTGCATGAAATTACACGAGTAAAAACGTCACCATTTACAGTCAACCGTATTCCAATCTTTAAATTCGAATATATCCTGCGGCTACTAGCTATAAAAAGCGGTGCAATTTTGTGGCGCACCTCGGTTAACTGTGTATTATATTTGCTATTGAGTGTGAGCGAATGAGAAATAAAAAACACACTGCGCTCCACATTTAACGTTCTTGTTCTCGTTCATTTGCTTTATGTTCTCGATTGTTATCTCATTTTAATTAAGGTCAATTAAAGATTTTCTTCGGAATAATTTTATATGAGCTTTTCATTTAAACCGCTTTGGTTACAAAATCAAATTCGGATTTTATTATGTGTGCATGGATACGTTTACACTAATTCCACGTTCTTCTTGTCTTTTTTTATTGTTATTTCATTTGTCTCATCTAGTGAAACCATTGACCGTGGACATTTTAGAAACTCCACCACAATTAGTTGCCGAACGACGATACGAAATAAGATGCGAAAGTAGCGGATCTCGACCGAATGCCATCATAACATGGTACAAGGGAAAGCGTCAACTGCGAAGGACAAAGGTACGTTAACAGACACGTCAGATTTTATATTTGAAAAAAATTGTCACAGGGATTTAGATAAGTTTTGTAATTTTAACTTTTTGATTTTGAAAGTGCATTCGACGATATGTTTCGATGCAAAAATTGGGTGGGAGGTTCATGCACAAAAACGCTCAAAATAACATGAATAAAATTACAATTATCCAATGTGCAGAAAAAGACCCTAATTTGTTTTAAAAAAAGGAGTAAACTCTTTGATTTCATCAGTTCGAAATGGGTGTATAATATTCGATTAGTTTTAATTACACAATTAAACGAAGTATTTTTATTCCCCGGGGGTGACAACTTTAATGAGAGCTCCAAAATAGAATAACGACGATGTTTTTTTTTACATAAAATGAATGTAATGTGGAAGGGAAAAAAACAATTTCACATAAAATTTAATTCCATCGAATTTAAGTCAATTATGACGAATTAATTTGATTGTGGCAATTAAAGTAACGGAAAAAGAGAGACAGAATATATATTATAAACGACTGTATACGTAGTGCTTGTGGGTTTGTGCGGTACATACAGTGTACTCATAACATATCAGCAAGGATAAAAAGATCACACGAGCATAAATGTCGAAGTGAACTGTCGATACTTTGTTGCAAGTAATCCATAAAAGAAAATTTAAATGCTATAAAAAATTACACTCTCTTTCTCTCTATCGTAAAATAATTTTTTTATTTCATTTTAATTGTTTGAACAGCCGCAGGAATGACATTTCATGATGGAATACATGTGTCAATTTTAAATTGCTTAATACACACATACACAAATGTCGTTTGACAGACTCCGGCTCTTCTCTTCACTCATAAATGGGCGAGCGCGCGTACACAATTTCATTCAATAAATTTGAATAATTTAAATGCATTTCATGTGCTTTTCTTTGTGCCATCATCAAAATATAAACATCCAAACAACGCTAAAAGCCATTAATAAAACGCATGACATGATACGAAAAGCGGTAATTAGTGTGACATTTTTTGTTACGTTGCGCATAGGATTGAAATAAAAGCATTAATGCTTAAAATAAAATTTCGTCAAAGCGAATATAACTCGCTCACGAAATTTAACGTGAATCATAAAAAAACCACCACCCACCGAACATCGTTGAACGAAACAGAGCAACAAACGCATTCGTTGCCATGGATTGTCATAAAAAGAATTAAATAGTTTTTCGAGTTTCGAATAAAGTGACGAACATTTCCGACATTCTTTTTTTACGCACGACTAAGTAATGCCTTTGAATGTCATGAGATGTTTTTATTGCCATTTTCGGCTGCCGGCACACATTTAAATGTTGCGTTAGTCGAATCCGAACGAAAGCTTTAAACTTTCACATTGCAGAAAAAGCATTTAAGAGCATTCTGTGAAAATCTTGTAGCGCAAACATTATAATGCATTTGAAAATAATGGTGATTTCTTTATCTGTTGTGACGGCTTTAACAAAACCGCAATGCAATTTTGTCGCATGGTATTTGTAGCGGCGAAAGTCAAAACGATGAACAAAGAACCCATAAAAAGGATGTGGCCAGCATAAAACAAAGCATTTTCATATTATGAACACATGCATTCGACCAAGTGACACAACTGAGAGAGAGAGAGAGAGAGAGAGAGAGAGAAGACACTGCGAGAATGAACTTAAGGACTCAACATGAGCCATTGTACGATTGCATTTTGGTCTTAAAATCCCGGAGACAAGTTGCTAATAAAATTTGTCTTTCGAATGGTTGTCGTTTGGTTTGTTGCATAATATAAAGTTAGTTTATAATAAATACTTGCTGAGTGCAACATCATCAACATCGAACAAATGTTGGAATGTGACTGCCAGTCAAATAGTTTGACTTTGGCGAATGATGTCACATCGACAGATACATCTCTCTCTCTCTCTCTCTCTCGTGCAAAAAGTGCACATTAAATGGAAATTTATAAACGAAATATAGCAGCAGCTCAACTGACGAAAAGTGAAAATTACCACATAGTTTTCATATTTGATGGCAAATGCATGCTTTGCTTGTAATCCATCGCTGAGATTCGCAGTTTTGTTTTGTTTTTATTATCGTCGTACGATATATAATGACATAAAATGAACAAAAAATGATGTATATAATATGCTTCTCTCTTGTTTCTGCAAAGGGGAAAGATATGAAGAGGGAGAGAGAGAAAGAAAGAAAGAGAGAGAGAGGTGCATCGAAAGAGTGAATAGTTGATGCAAGCAATGAATGAAAAATACGAGATAAATGAAATTTGCAGGGAAAAAAGCTGGTTTGTCTTTTGCAACACATTTATATTTCGAAACTAACCAAAACTGTTTGAAATTCATCCATCTCCGTTTATATAATGATGTCGCGTCCATAAAATTCGTTACAGTGTTTTGTATTTTACAAGATGCATTTTGAATTGTGAGACGAGAGGAATGGTTGAGATTTGTGTGAATGTGTTTGTTTCGAATACACCCCGAGGATGTTATAATCAAAACGAATAATGGCATCCAAATCCAAATACACAGACAGACATATACATTTCGTTGATTTTTCGTTCGGTTTATTTGCCTAGCACACATTCTGCCCGATCCAAAGTCAACGCTGTACATATGCACTATAAAAAAAAAAACAATAAAAACGAGACTAACTTGTTTCGGTTGTATGCTAATGCATTGTTTTGCATGCATATGTGTGTATTGTATAAGAATTTGCGATGTGAGAGTGTGTCAAGTGGTATAACAAATCCAATAAAACGTTGTGCATTTTTGCTTCGAGTGTGAATTATATCGCTTTTTGCCGATGTTGAACTTCGAACACACCAACCTCTCTCTCTCTCTCTCTCTCTCTCTATCTATCTCTCTCTGATTTATCCTACGATGCACAATTTATTGAAAATGCAAATAAACGACAACTCCTTTTCTCTCTCTCTATCTCTCGCTTCCCATACTCACTTTAAAAATCTGGAATTTTTTCTCGAACGGGTGTATAAAACAAAATACGTACTTCGTTTGACATTGTGTTGTATTGTTCTTATTTTGACAACGACAATCCTGTGTCGTTTATTTGTCTCACAGTTGTCTTCGCAACAACAACAAATATTTGCTTACCCATCTTATGTTTTAGACATGCACTGTGAAACGATACGATAACGAAAAACAAACAAAAATCAAAGCAAAGAAAGAAAACGTTGAAAATTCCCTGACATGAAATCAAAAACAATAACATCGAATTGTCGAACGGTTTAAAAAAGAAAAACAAGAAAAAAATCAAAGAGTTTTCAAAAGACACGCCACCCCAAAAGAAAAAATAGAGACCGAAAAAATGAATGATGACATTTCAAATAGATACGACGAATCATGAATCGTTTACGAAGTGAAAACAATTGCACAAAAAAACAATTTTCTCAATTCGAAGACAGAAATTCATCATCAGCAAAGAATGTGTCAACCAGAGAAAGTTATTTGAAATAATGTAGATTTTTATAATATCATTGTTCGATAATGTGAGGTAGTTCAGGTCCATTTTTTTCAACGATTCTTTCGGACTATTCGAAGCGAAAAAATTGTATTCAAAGCAAATTCTAAAACCAAAAAATGAAATGCTCAAATGCAAAAAAGCGACGAATTTGAAACAATAGCGTGGAAAAGGCGAGTGGTTACATGTCACTTTCATTGTTACTCCATTTGCCTGTGAAATCGAATATCGGTTTCAAAATGTGTTATTCCCATTTTCATTGCTTCACATTGTTCCATTGCGTTGCACAAACCGTTAGAATGAGAAAAAAGAAAATGATTCGTCGATGTCGAAATTGAAATGTAAAATATTAATATTGCAATTTTGAAAAGACCATTAAATTACGAATGAATCAGCAATAAAAGACGACGAAAATAGTGCGAATTCGAGCTTCGTTCTTTTTCCCAAAAAAAAAAAGCTTTCCGAATTTGATGATAACTTTTTATTCAACCAATTGTGTTTCATGTTACTTTATTTAATCTAAAAAAATAAACAATTCGATTTATTTCAAGTTTTCAACACACTATACATATCAAAGTAACCAACTGTGCGAGACATATTATAGAAGCACCCACAAAGCGTCATTTATTATTCATAATATTGTCTCAATCCTATGGTTCGTGCTCTTGCTCCGGATTTATCAGACGCGTCGCAATTTTTATTTATGTTTATATTTATAGGCAATCTTTGAACAACAAAAAACACCAAAAATGTATATATATTCCGCCCGTTTAGAACACATGCAATAATCTCACATGTCTATTGGATCCATCGATCCGGGTTTCGATTTTGTTTCTCTTTCGATTCATTCTCTCGATATTTATAAATAAATTTATACATTGCATTTTCCAGGATGAGACAGTCAACACAACAAGTCGCTCGGAATTAAGTTTCGTGCCATCAACTGAGGATGATGGAAAATCGATAACATGCCGTGCTGAAAATCCAAAAGTAACAGGACTATTTCTGGAAACAACGTGGAAATTAAATGTTGTCTGTAAGTACAATTGGCATTTTTTTTTTCGGAACCGAAAACAACACATCCGTTGACTTATGTCGTTCAATTTTTTTTTTTCGTCTCTTTTTTTGTGTGATCATGTTTTTTTATTTTTGTTTAAATAAATTTTGTAGGTATATATTTTTGTCGCTTTAGAAAATCAGTTTTTCATGCTGGAATTTCAATTTTTTATTTGAAGCCTGTCACAAGCGATGTGTACTAACAGTAATCGTACTGCTTTTTGTATTATTTTCGATAAGTAAATTGAAGCTTTTAAAAGTATATATTTGAACATGAAAAAAGCGAATGTTTGTCTAATTTACATATTAAATCTCGTAATGTGTATTTGCTAACTTAGAACAACTGTATATTAGAAAGTAAATATGTTGGAATGACACATTGATCGATGTCAATAATTTACAAATATTTTACAAAGAGATGCTGTTTATTTAAACGGAATGGTATTTCGGATTTCACGGAAGCAGTGTAAATGAAAAATAAATTAATCTCACGATACGTGAATGTACCGGCCTTTTTAAATCCATTTTCAGCTAGTTTTTATGCCGAAATCAATTCTCTGGATTTTCCAATCCAACGAGGAAGCACAAATTACGGTCATTTGTTAGACGTGTTCACGAAGAAATTCGCTCGAAAGATTTACTATTGATTTGCATTTGAATGATTGAACCGAAAAGTATATGTAAATTTTATTAATGAACGAAATACACGATAAATCGTGTAGCACTTTAGCAAATTCGGAGATATATATATTTTTTTTCGATGACCTTTGAGATTTAGGTCGTAATTTGATTTCAGCACTTGTCAGCTCATCCATTCATATGCGCAAATTTACAACGGACGATTTTTCGTATCATTTACAATCAATTTCAACAGCGTGGATATTTGATTTACTTGAGTTACTTAGCTTTGATTCAGCCACGCTCTGCCCGCACTCCATTTAAAGCAATGTATTGGGTTTCGAACACGCAGATGTGCTGCCACCTGGTATCTCAAAGTTAAGCTGCTATAACGCACATGCTTCTTGTAAATGAAGAAGAAGAGCAAAGCAATGTCTTTACATAGGGTCGAACTTATAAATATCAGAGAGCAGCACAACTGCCGTGTTCAAAGTGCGATTGCCTTTCGGATTCAGCGCATATAATGCAAAAGTAGTTTAAAATCATTACATTTAATTTTTCAAGTAAACTATATGACAAAAAACTCAATTAGGGTTTATTCTGTTTGAAGTCAATATGCTTTGGTTTTTCGCTTAAAATTGGTTCACTTTTAACGTTAGAGAGTCAGAATGTAAGAGTCAATGCAGTAAAGCGAATTTGGTTTTATATCCTTTGATTCGGTTGTATTTTCACGGTTACCGCATTCGAGTCATTCAAAATCAAAAGAGAGAAAGAGAGAGACTAATCTAAAAACCGATTGAAGCGTAACAAAGCTTTGAATGTTCAGTTGAATGTTTTCTCTTCAAATGGCCATCCTTGACTCAATTTCAACCGTGTGTATCAAATATTCAAATCGGTATTGAATGGTCGTTCATTTGCATTCGTTTTACAGTTTTACATAGCTCGAATTACAGCGAAGCTCTCTGCCAACTCTTCAAATTCGATTTCAAATCAGGCGCAATGAGCCACGTGCAAACCAGAAATATGGATACGATTTCAATGGACACGTCGCCACGTTTACCCATGAAAATGATACGTATTTGGGAGGCGCGCAAACAAACTATGATACGACTTTTTCCATTTGATTATTATTTATTTCATTGAACAAATACAAATGCCAAATTTGAAATTCGAAACGATTTAAATTAAGGTTTGGTTACCAATTCCGTCTTTATCGAAAAAAAAAAACGGGAAAAATTTCCATTTCGAAAAATTGGCCGATATTTATCTAGATATACAACTTGAACAAAGAATATATACATGCGAAGTACGATTTCATGTGAAAACCAAACACACGTGATAAATGACTTAACGTATCAATGAGGAAAAGGTGTGTGGAAAATGAGTTAATATTGAACTGAACGACAGAATCATCATGAGCATGCTATTTTCCATTGTAAAAGTCCACCAAATGGATTAATACTTCGATATTCATATGTTGATGGTTGCTTTTTCCGTCGATTTCGTGTACGGTTATCGTTCCATGATTTTACACAATTTTTACGCTGAAAAAAAATATGTTGCAAATTCATGGAAAGGAATATCTTGTGAGCCGATCGATAAAAAGTGCAAAGAGAGAGAGAGAGATTGACCACAAGTTTGCATGTCATACTGTGTCCATTTTCAAAGTTATGTCTCCGCGAACACTCAGTTTTAAAAACACTTTCACATCACACTTTGTGAGCGGATTCGTTTGCACGGAAACAAGATCTGTTCGAATTGAAATGGTTTCGAATAGTTTTTCAACACAAAAGGCAATTTTTAACAAGCGTTTTTCTGCCTCGAAGCTGTGAAGAAGAAAAAAGATATGATTCCGATTGATTTCGCGTGCGTATAACATTTTTGTGCTGTGCAATCATTTTTCGTGGGACTGAACATGGTTCGAATTTCATTGTTAAAGTCGCGCGCTCTCGTTAATCCACATCGATTCGAAAAAGCATTCACAGCATATCCCGATGATTCCAACATATCAATAACAACAACAAAATTAAACGTGTTAAATTTCATACAATACATAAAAATTTCGATAATCTGGATACACATTTTCATCGAATCATTCAGAAAGAAGTTTTTTTTTGCGTTCATTGCAAATGTTGTTATTTTTTGTGTATACAATTCATATGTGCATTCATTTCAACAGTTTGAGTTCCTCTTCGATTCGCCGGGTTCTATTTTAATATTGTTAGCAGTGCATAATTTCGACTACAATGTATTCAATCCGAATTGTATTACTGTTTAAATGGCCGAAGTTTGGAAAATTTGGTTTGCATCGAAACGATCACACCAGCATATATTCCAGCATGAATGGTACTTGGGTTTACCAATGTGTATGCCCGTTTACCGTGGCTAAGCTCATTTATCGAATGGCTTTCTATAGTATACACAAACATTGGTCCCACACAAAGCCTTCCGCATCGAGTATACACACTCGCAAACACAAAATGTGTATAAAACCAACACCAGTTTTGTTGTTCTTTGGTCGTCGTCGATTGCCACACAACGGAAAAGGTAAATGACATAGAAAGAAGATGAAAAAAAAATTATATAATTACACAACATACAAAAATAATGCTTAGTCAGTCAGTGGGATAATTTTATTTATGTGCGTTTTTATACGAACAGTGTAACTAATAGCATTTGGTAAATGATAATATACGTAGTATAGAGGCGATAGCATACATACACGAGCGCATGCATGTAATATATACAGAAGAGGTGGCTTCACCATATGATATGGATATGGGAAGAGACACGATGATGCTGGGATCGGCGTGTGAATATGTGATGCAAGCGTTCGGGTAACAGAGATAGAGTAAAACCAATGACGGGAGGTGGATTGAAATGAATGCCACAAATTATACAATTGTTTGGTTCAAGCTCAGTGAATTTATAGTTCTCTCTAGAGTGAATGCCATGGCAATGCTTCGTAAGTAGATTCGCTTCATGTGTGTATTTTTCTCTTTTGAGCACTTTCTCTCGCTTCCCGATTCCGGGCAGCACATCGACGAATAACAAGAGTATGTGTTAATGCACAAGTAACAAATGTACGCGTTAGTTTACACTAAATATAAGCCATAAATACCGATTCAATATAAATATACAGGCATATATGCGACATCTACAGCTGCACATGCTGTGGATCGTTAGAAGCATGCCCAGCAGCACATAATTTGCACTAAAAACAACAACTCTTTCAAGCGCGCACACACACACACACACACACATACGCATCAGTGAGAAAAAGAAGGGAAAAAGTGAGGCAAATGCGAACGTAGTCGATTTTTTGTATGTTCGTTTTGTCCTTGGTGCGCGCTCATTTTCCGACCCGCGCCAACAACTTTATATATATATGCCTACATAACTATTTATTTACATCATACAATAAATGCACTATATTCCAAAGAACGGCAGTCTATATTTTGCAATAGTCACGCGCTCATGTGTGTTTGATTCGATCCAAGCGATCAGGATTAATTATAGAAAGCTGATGCCATAGAATTTTGTCAATGTTCACTATATTTTTTTCGCTCTGCCTCCCTCTCCGCCTTTTACGACTCTCAGACCTCCCTGTCTCGCTCTCTTGCTTTTTCGAATTTCCATCGTCGTTTTGACCTGATTAATGTTTTAGTCTCGGTTTAGTTTATTCCCACAAATTCACAGACAATTTTTTTCGTCCATTATTCGTTTCTATTTCAAATATAAATTTAAAATGCATACATCAGTTTTGGCATCCACTTCAACCGTCCAAACTCATGCGCGGACTTACACAAATTTTTGTGCACACTACATGAAATCGAATTTTGTATTAAAATACAGATTTACGGAGGAGAGACATCAAGCGTGGAAAGAGAAAAAAAACACAATTTAGATATCCGGGTCGTTGCATACGTCAATCGCAGTTTTGCTGTACCATTGTTCTCTCATTTTAATTACATTTTGATCAAAATCAGATCAAAGAACGCACAACGAATGGTTTTGGTTTTTTGTTTCGATCATATACGCGACCGCACAATAAAGCTGCATTTGATTAAGCGTTAACGCTGATGTTGAAATTTTTTGATATAACCATTGATTGGAACAGCACTAGGATTTCAGTTTTTTTTTAAATACAAAGCCAATTTTTGAATAGTACGAACTATTCTATCGTAAACATCTCCTTTGGTTTTTCAATTAATCCATCGATCATTTATTGCAGTAAAAACAAAATGAATCGAACAAATTTATGATGGGAGATTTGACGACTTTTCATAAATTCGATATGAAATCTTCTTGCCAAACATTTCAACCAAAAGCTATATAATTTGCGAATGCAAATCATCACTTTTTATATATCTGCGTTTCTATTTATCTCACTCGAATTTTATTTTGTTTTATGGATTATTTCCGAACATTTGTGATTATTTTTTTTCGAGCATGGTATTTTGTTAAAAAAACATTGTAAATGATGGCCGCAAGATGTGATTCAACAAAACCCCCAAGAGAATTGAATAGAAGAATAGTTTTGAATGTCAATAAAACCAATAAATGTTTCATTTTCAGATCCACCGATTGTAACATTGCGCCTGGGATCAACATTATCGGACAACATCAAAGAAGGCGATGACGTGTACTTCGAGTGCTTGGCGGTGGCTAATCCCCAATGGCGAAAATTGTACTGGTTACACGATGTAAGCAAAAAAATGTTATTCGTTATTCTCTATTTTTTTCGGTCTCACACACATACACTATATCTCTCCTCTCTTCCCTTCCATCAATTCCTTTTGATTTTATTCGCTTCGGTTCTGCTATTCAACATTTTATTCTATCGGTTTTATTACACGATTTTATTGGGCGAGAAATGCACAAAATATATGTATATATCAAGCGCTGCAGTGTGTCTAAATTTCTGTTTAATCAAATAAAAAAAATGTATATCAACTTTTGTGCCATTTTCAGCATTTTGTCCATTTCGATCGCCCCAGAATGGGTTGGGTAAATATTATTACTGCCGTAAAAAAAAAACTGACTGAGACAACGATGAGAATAAATTCTGCGAAAAAGCGATTTTTCGCCCATTTCAGCAGCGCAATGAGTAAATATTTCGTGTGTCTACGTATGGTGCATCATAACACACATAAATGTCCACATTTATTTATTTTGAATAAAGCCTTATCGTTCGTTTCACACGCATCTACTGCATACATCGGGGGTCATAAACAATATTATCAATCTGGTGTGACTTTTATTTTCATGACACAAGTACTTTTTTTAACAGCTATCAGTGGCGGTCTTTATTTTCTCTTGCTATTTCTCGTTTTCTATCCATCCCATCGCTTAAAGCTCTTTTAATAAAAAATAAAATAACAGCAGAGCAAATGCAGTGTTTGAAACGATCAATTTATCGAAAACAATGACAAGAAACAGAAAAAAAAACAGAGAAGAGTCAAATGACATTTAGTTTGGTATAACAACTATAAATATAACCAATTACAATTGAATGGTTCGTCATCATATTTCATGTGTTGCAATCATGTTAGCTTTCATAATTTCCGTTGCTCGTGGAGTGTTTCGTAGCTTCTATATTGAAGCACTTCAACTAGCACATTTTTCTTCAAGTCTTTGTTCAATTGCAGCTTCAATCGTTTTTGATAATGTTGGTGAAACAAATTTAAGAAACTCAAAAATGCGATAGCATTTCATGCGAATCATAAAATATTGAAAAAATACCATGAAAGAACGAAAAAGTGAGCTGGAAAATCCATTTCTCTCTGGAAATGGAACGTCGAATGAGGTGAAATAAAGAACAAAAGACAAAACTCTTGAGCCAGCATATAAAATTGTCAAACAACTTAAATAGTATCATATAATTCTTTTAGTTTATGATACATCGTCTGCCATGATTTTTGTGCTCTTTGTTCGTCGATGCATTTTTTCGGGGTGTGAAAGTGGCTTTTCGATATTTTCGTAGTCGTGTGACAACAATAAAATGTCTTAAACATTGAGTGATTTTGTGCTGTGTTGATTTTTTGTACTCTGTACGTTGTTACAATCGTCTCTCATGATTGTGTATTTGGTTGTATTCTGTTTTTAGTTTTGGTCATCATCCGTTCTCCGGTGGATTTCTTTTCTCGCATGAATTCGATTAAGCTTTAACGCCATTGAAAATGAAAAATGTGAGCACACGGTTTTTTTTCCCGCTTGTATGAGATAGATATTTTGTCATTTTCTCCGGAAAATGTCGAGCATAGCCATCGATTCAGAGTAAAAATGCAGTCATCGTACTCTAACTATAATTGAGAGCTAACAAAAAGGAAGCAATAATAGTAACAATCACATTGAAACAGGATCTTCCGCATACACCGAACCGATGGCATGCGATTGTTTATTCGAACTGGGTTTGCAATTCGATCATAACAAAATGTCATTTTTTATTTTCTTTTACCGCTTCGCTCAAGTTGCAATTATCGATTACGATTATGTTCGTTTCTGTTATGCGATACCCATCTGCTCCATACAATACAATCCAATTCGATCCAGTGAAAATGGCAAAAAAGCAACTTTAGCACTCTAACCTCTTTTGCTCGACTTCCTTTTCGCCCATTATTTAAAGAATCTTCATCGCATTTTTTTTTGTCCGCTCGCTCTGTCATTTCATTCGTTTGTGTTTGTCCTGTTTTGTTGTTGTTTGTGTCCACCTACAGTTGTGTTCAATGCACATCTCCTTTTCGCATCGATGCATTCCGATGAAATGAATTTATACATGACAATTTTCTCATTCGCAGGGAGTTGTTTTAACGCACAATGCAAGCGCTCGTGTTATTCGATCCAATCAAAGTTTAGTGTTGCAACGCGTCACAAGGCATTCGGCTGGAAACTATTCATGCAGCGCAATAAATGCTGAAGGCGAAACTGTTTCTAATCAGCTCGAACTGCGCGTCAAATGTAAGTACACAAGTTCAATTTTCACATTTTTCAATATTCTTCGGTGTTGCTGTTGTTTTTGTTCCCCGTACATTAGTTATCAGAAATGCCATCAATGAAAGAAAACCGCATTACATCTGGGCACGAGTAAATCGGATTATGTAGAATACACCGCAGGCACACTAGCCTTTCAGTTGAATGAAGAAGTTTTTGAATGCAATTTAATTACTTTTCCGTTTCATATTACACAATTTTAGCAAAGTGTGTATTCAAAGTCGGTATTTAAAATAATGATCAAATCTATAAAATGTTACTGAAATGAAAATGGTTGCAAATTCATTACGAAAAACGCTCATTCATTCACTATTTCGAATGGTCTCCACCCTAAAATGTAATCGTAACCGAATACGAGGTAAATGCTTTAGTTCAAACTACTCGTAAAGCGCTTCAGTTCATTTCAAAAACCAGTAAAATGGCATTGAATAGATTGAGATAGATGATTTTGTTGTCTTTTTATTGATTCGGTTCTTTTTTACTGCCAAAAAGAAGAAGAAAACTTTTTCATTTCAAAAAGTATTTGGCATACATCATTTCAAGTACGATTTTGTAAGTTGTTTGATTCCAACAAAAAATCCGTTCCGATGACAAGACATAAAGCATCTTGTCTCTACTAAGTCGATATTATGTCGACGGTGGTGTCTTTCGGTCCGAGAGAATGGATACGCATGATTTGGACAAGTTAGACACTCAAGTGTTACATAAGGATTTCAATCATCAATTTGGTCATGTATGCAAAAGCTTAAGGTAAAAACCATCACCGTCATCATCATCATCATCACCGAACAAAAACTGCATCTGTTTCAGACAGCAAGCTGGAAAATTTGCTGTGCACTCTTGATATTTAGCAGTCGGTATGCGGTATTTGGTATTCGGCTTCTCGAATCGTTTGTGACTCTTTTTTTGTTCTTGTTGTTGGTCAAATGCTATTTGAGATACATACATGTATATCTATTTTCAAGGTAAATTTTCGTTCAACTTCAGTCATGGAGAAAATACGTTCGAATCTGGAATGAATTTTTCCAATTCCGCAACTTTTCATTACTTGTAATTGTTGAAGTGACCAACCGGAGTCGGACGACCATACTGCACAGAATTTATCTGCAAATTGCATAAATGCATTTCCGAGAAAATATTTGCTGTTTTGTGGTTAAGACATCTTCAGTTTGCAACTTGCAATAAACTTAGACGAATTGTTGAAATGTTTTCGTTTTTTTTCTTTTTTTTGAAATTTTGTTTTGCATTGTTATTTTATATATTAACTTGATTCGTCGAATAGTTTTCTCAACCTAAAAACATTGTACAAATATATGTGATTATTTTACAGATGCTCCACTTTGTGTCAGCGATAAGGTTGTGATTGTCGGTGCATTTCGAAATGAGAATCTCAACATTTACTGTGAAGTGCAAGCTGATCCACCTCCAAGGTTTGTATTAACATGTATTTACCATCTTATTCTCATCAAAAACCGAAAACTTTAAGCAAAACGGCATTGTACATTAGATAAACGAACTCAGATAACGGCAAACAAACATACCACACATATATGAAAGATGTACGATTCCATCTTGGTCACACAATTTTCATCATTGTTTGGTGCTCTATTGCAATTTTAATCCCTGCTCAAGATCTGCACTAATCACAGACACATTTTCTTTGATTTGAATGAACATTTTATATGCATTTGCAGAAAACCACTAATTGGACATTTTTGACCGCACGCAATAATATGCCAAACCAGATGCATTCATGCAAATCACGTTTATAATGGTTATTCCGCATAAAATTGAAACAATAAATTCTCAGTTAGACATCAAATTGAAACACACAAAAACCATTCAGACGGCATCGAGTGTCTGTTATCGTGTCATGCAGAAATATGTATTTAATCAAGCAAAAATTAGCTTTATTAATTTGAATGTGCCCATTTTTTGAGTGCAAAAGTTTTGATTCATTCGAATGTGATTAAAAGTCGTAGTTTTGAAAAATATTGCTCTCATTAAAACCGATTTCATTTTCAAACATTGAAGTACGGTTGCAAGTGTGTCATCATTCAGACCACAATCTAATTGGATCAGTTTTTTTTAGAGAAGAAAATAACATACCTTCGTTCGTTACTCGCTTTATACGGAAATTTCGCAATAATTTAGCAGAGTCATTCGGATTGACCGACATTTATTTTTAAATGATGAAGATTGATTAGTCAATGTATCATAATCACAAAATCCACAAATTCCAATTAAAGCAGAATTCTGAGCAGAATCTGAGTTTGTCATTTTCAACTCTTTTTTTTTTTTTAATTTCAAATTCGAATAAATAGATCATTTCGTTGGAAATTCAATAACTCGGGAGAAACACTTGACGTGGGCAAGGAACGTCATCATCGCAACGGATCAACAAGCGTTTTGCAGTATACACCAGTCACAGATCAAGTAAGTGGTTCATTATTAAAAATATTGTTTAAAGTTGTTTTCTTAGCAAGCAACATTTGTTTCCTTGGTATCTTTTCAACTGTCTTTGAAATATATGTAAATTCCATGTGATTTTCCCAATGTCTTTTAAGAAACTTCACTGTTTCTGTCTTATAACGACTTTATGCTAAGAATTGTGATTTTACTTCTACTTTAGAAAAAATCCCGTCTATTTCATTGTCTGTCTCTGGCCATTTATACTCCCGACCAAATAACCCGTTTCATCAAATAAAAACAACGTTTAAATTATAAGTTTTTCGTCTTTCACATTTACCTTCACGAGCGGCTAATTTGAATAAGTGATTAAAATTCGGCAAAAGAAGGGCTCGCCTACTTTTTGAAGCACTCCTTTAAAAAAAATTCACAAACAACTTGAAGGAGAAAAAAAAGAATTATTATTCTTTTGGAGTGTGTTTTCGTGAAAAGGAGGCGCGCGCACGCACACAAAATCATGGGGTGTCCAATATATTTATATCTTATTTGCGCGCAAGTCTTGAGCAAATAAAATACCGAAAAAAATACGAAAAGGTTTATGCAATGTTGAACTGCATCCGAAATGAGTAATTGCTAATTAGAAGCTCATTTCTTGCTGCCTGTGCCCAATTCTATGCTGTTTTTTCATCCAATGGACTCTCTCATTTTCAGAGTGATAGACGAATAGAGTGATGGGTGGGGGCTGGAGAGAGAAAGAGAAATTTTATAAACTGTGAGAAGAAAATCTCATTTAAATGTGTTGAATGCTCTTCATTCGTCTGGAATTTCAATATGCATACAAAGAAGAGTGGCCGCGTTTTTCTGCATACTTTGTTTGTTCTGCTTGAGCAAAAGAAAAACTCGATGAAAATAGTTGAGATGGTCTCTGCACCTTTCAGCATTTTTTTTTTTTTTTTGCTTTGCAGCATCCAATCGATATGATTGAATATAAGTTTTCTTATGATATTCACTGCAAGAACATTTCTTTATCACAAGAATCGAAACTTTATCGCTGAAGAGAACATTAATAGAGAAAGGCAGAAAGAAAAAAAACTTGCGTCAAACATTTTCACAGTGTCCAGAGAACGTGAACTTCATAATTCACCGTGATAATAAATGTGTACGTAAAAGAACCATTTATTTTGTGTGGAAATTTTTTAGTTTGCTTAGTAGCAAAAACGTTCGACGCGATCACCCCTTTTCCGAACAAACACACACACAGGAAGTTGTCGTTCGCTGACGACGCTCAACAAGAAGTATTTCGCTACAATAACAATAAAAAAATGAAGAAAAAGACGACGATGAAGAAGAGAAAAAACGAATACAGAATAAATATTGTTATGATCAGCATAAAAAATTGAACACCCCAAAAGTACCGAAAAGTATAACGAATGGAACCGAAGAATTGTATCTCGGGCAATATACAGCTATTTTATTATTACTGTGCGCACAAAATATTTCAACAATCTCCCTGTGGGAACATCATGTAATAAAAAAATAATGCAAAACTTTGCTTCTTCTCACATTTTTATTCTCTTCTATTTCGTTTGACTTTCACGTCTCCTTCCTAATGATTTCTTCTTATTTATATTCGACGTCTTCTCTCCTCATCGCCGCACCAGAAACACACACACACACACACCAGACAAAGTAAGCGCATCCATTGCTACATTATGAAAGGAATATCATACAACCAAACTAATATTACATCGAACACATCACAAAGTCTTCTGTTGCTTCGGTTGTCTTTCTATCATGTTGTGAAGACGATGTACAAAATACTATGTCTTGAACGCTAGTGCATGGTTTCAGTCGCAACCACTTATGGAAAATCTCATCTGATTTTCATATTGAAACTAATCCATGCATTGATTTTTATATTGAATTTAAATTCCAAAACACCACGGATCACATGCTCACTTTTTGAATATTTCAAAACACAGATTCGAATCGATTTAGACTATCTTTCGATAAGACTTCAATACAAACGATGGAACTTTTCGAAGAAAGAAGCAACAAATGAAAAAGAAGGTTTTTGTGTTTATGATTTTTCTGGCAATTTCTCTCAAAGACAAATCAAAATTTTTGCATAAATTCCCGCCTTATTATTTGTAGTTGTTGTATATATCATAGCAAGACCCTTGCAAGTTTTCATCTCGAAAAAACAAAAAGCAAAAAAAAGTCATCACTTTCACTTCAAAAAAAAAAAAAAAAAACTCAAACAAATCGAGATAGAATATTCGCAACAAATCGAGATAGAAAATTGAAAAAGCTCTCTTTCGACTTTTCACTCAGAAGTTTGTTTTACAGATAGACTCGTTGAATGAATAAAATGTGTTTCAAAATTTGGAATTTTACTCTTATTTTTTGAATTAATAGCCAAAAATGTTCAGAATGTCTCATTCGAGGCAATTGACCCAACCTCTACGAATTCAGCTCGTAATGTTCGAATATGCAAAAAGAGAATTTTAAAAGTAAAAAAAAGAAACTAAAAACATATACTTTTCTCCGTTTCAGTGAAGAGTATAAAAATTATTTTATTGCATGATACGTGTTGGGTGGTGATATACGATATTCTTTTTGGCTAAAATTGTTCGGTATGCTCGGAATCGCACGTAATATAAAATACGAGCTTCAAATGCTCTCCATCTCACTCTCCGCCACTTGATCGACTTTTCGAGCATTTCAGTTCGATGAAAGAACGTATTTTCGTCGAGTAAAAATCGGTGTACAAATGAAACGGGCTATGAAAAGAACAGTTTCATTCACCGAGCCGTTCTCTCATGCTCAAATATTCAATCGCTACGTGTTTTATATCTTTTTGAATGTTTTGCAAAAAATGTATTTTTATCCAAGTTCGTTTGTGTGCATGGGTATGCGTTTGATGCTTTGCAAGAAAAAAGTGAAGAATAAGAATTTGTGTCATATTTGGATGATATAGTTTATGAGTTATATTCAGTGATCTGAATGTCCGAGAATAAAAGTGAGAATTTTTTTTTAATTTTATTTTTAAAAATTATTCTATTCCATTAAACCAGTGCACAAAGTTTGAAGGATAAAAGTTATGTTACACAAATTCAAACAGACTGTGCAAAAACTTATTAAAGAATAAATAATTTCAAAATTTTATAAACGAAAATTTGATATTAGTTTCTCTGGCGTGTTTTCTTCACCTTATAAACAATCACTTCAATGAGTAGATATATGAATTTTTCAATGTTGAGTCGTAAAAATTCACAATAAATGGATATCCACTTATAGCTTTGATTGCATTTCGTATTTTTTCGCCGAGATCACAATACACTGGCGGAAAGTAGTTTATCAAAATCATCCAATTTTGTTGATATTTTTTGAATATCAATTCGAACAGATTTTCAGTTCCGACATTGGTGGTGATGTCATTTTGTTGAAAGACGCATTCAACATTAAGACTTCTTTTTCCACTGACTTTGTATTGATTTATAATCAAATAAACATTGATCAATCCAGTTGCCCGTTTGTAAGATAAAGCGAGGTTATCGAAGTCAAAATCTGAACTGAATTTCTCACTTATTCGTAGTTCACCATTATTATCGATTGTTGAAAAGACAAAAATGTGATAAAATGCGAAGAATTTTTTGAAATCGTTGATGTTCATGGGTAAATTGTCAAGGTCAACAAAAATCAATTGAAAAATGTGATCGGTTGGTTCGTGTGGTTTCCATGGTAGTTGACGTGGTTCTTGGGTGACGTCAGTCCAGAGCCATGGAATGGAACGTTGACAGTTCGATTGAATGTCGGTGATCAATTGAGTGACTTGAAAGGCATTTGGATCGTAAAGAATGTGGCCAGTTCGAAATTGGCCGTCGATAAACAAATGGCAGATCAAAAGTGCCAAATTTTGGAAATTTGAAAAATTTGGAATCAACAAACTCGTCAAGGTCATTTCGATTATTGGAAATTTCGAAGGTCACAATGATCAACGTGGTACTAATTTTTATTGTTCAACTTGTTATGTAATGCAAAATTATTATTGAATGAAATTGAAATTTTCTGATAAACTGAACTCGAACTTTTAAACGCGTCTTGTTTGTTTAAAATGTTGATTTAAACTGACGTGGTTCACATCAAAACAATTAAGATTAGCAGTTGGCTTTCCATTAGTTTTATGATGCCATTAGCACTTAACGCCAAGCATTTGATGGAAATTGATAATCGAGTGAAATAGAACATTTCTATTTCTGTATCTCTTAATAGAAATTCTTCAATGTTGCAAGTACTATAGAAGTCTCTCTTTCATTCTCGTGCATTCATATGATTCAAGTCGTTGGGTTTATGAAAAGGATATGAGCAGCTCAGAGGCATTGGCATCACTGTATATAAACGGAAAATCGGGCGAAAGAGAAATTGCGGTGTGTTTTTATATGTGTGCTCATTCCTCGATTTCGACTCTCCATACTTTTAGTTGTACGCTTTTTGTTGAGAACGATGATGTTATTGCTGTTTATTTGCTATGTCTTTCTATCACCATAATCTAGCAATATTTATGCATTTTATTTTCTTCGTCATTTTTTTTAGGCTCATCCCATTCCTCGAATCGGGACCATTATATATTTTCCACAGATTTTTGTGTTTTCTTCTCCTTACCCGTTCACTTTACCTTGATCAACCAGATTTGTTTTTTTTTACATTGCCGTAGACTGTATGAGAAAAGTACCAAACAAGAGGAAAAGTATTTCGAACATCTAATGGGAATGCGAGCATATGGCACCATATTTATCATTGTCAAAAGTTCGTCTCGCAATTGCAGCCTCTGATCAAGCAGATTTTTCGAAAACACACAAATAATGTTATCACTTTCGATTCGTGATGCTTTTTTCTTTGACATTTTTGGTGTTCATGTCATTTTTATTTATTTATATATAAATTATTTGGATGCCTGAATTTTGAATTTACATGTGCATCATCGTTATTTGTCCGATACGAAATGTTATTTTTACTGAATATAA